ACTCAGTGCTCCTGTTACCAAGAGCTCTGTAGGTTCTAATCCAACTCTGATGTGGTGACTGGCTCTGCTGATATTTGTGGCAATGTTAAACAACTTCCTTCTAGTAAGAAACACTCCTGGAGAGATGGCTCAGCAATTAAGAGCACTGGGTTCGACTCCCAGCACATGGCTGCTCAAGACCATCTCTAACCTCCCGTTGCAGTAGAGCTGATGCTCTCATCTGGCCTTTGTGGGCACGAGGCATGCACATGGCACACATACAGACACGGAGGCAAAGCACCCACGCGTGTAAGATAAATAATAAAATAAAAAGGTTACAAATACTTGGTGTTCATAACCGATACTGAAATTGATCAAAACACATTAGGTGCATTATAGAAGTCTCAAGTAAGAAAAAAAATAAGGAATTCCTATCCTGACCTCACTTCATTTCCCTTCTAAACCCTTATTTTTGGTAGAGTGCGTTGGAAAATGGGATTGGAAAGATAAAAGGAATTCTACATTGCTACAGTAACAAAGCAATACAAGAAAGTGGGAATACACTGTTCATCATAGAAAATACTGTTGGGGGGGGGGTCTTTTACTTGCTTTTCATGTGGAGGTTTACACAGGATTAAGTCCAAATCTAAACTATGATTAGTCAAAAAAAAAAAAGAAGAAAAAAGAAAGAAAAAAAAGAAAGAAAAAGACAAGACTCTTGGCTTTAAGGTACTATCGAATACAAGGCCTACCTTGCATGTTTCTCCAAATGAAAGTTTGAATGAGACTGAAGTACTGAGATGGTTCTGGTGACAGGCACTGACACTGGTGACAAGTTCCCTCAGCAAGCTTCTTTCTCGATCATTCGTTTGAAGCTTTGGTGAAGATGGCAACTCCTTCTGGAGGATGTGGCCTACCCTTGACCATGGAAGTGTGGTAACAAAATGGATAAATGCCATGCCCTACCTTCCAGGTGAAGTCACCATAGAGTCCATGAATCAGTATCTTCCTTAGCTGGGCAGTGATCTTATCAGCTGGCCAATACGAGTAAAACTGATTTGTTTTTAATCTCCCTCACTAATAAGTTTCTTCTTTTATTGTTTATATGAGGTTTTTTTTTTTTTCTAAATTTCTAAAATCTCCCGAAAGTACAGTGTATTAATCATGGTTCTCTAGAACAGAACTTATAAAATAAATCTCACTACATATATAGAAAGGAGATTTATTAGATGGCTTATAGGCTGTGGTCCAGCTAGCCCAACAATGGCTGTCTACCAATGGAAAGTCCAAGAATCCAGTAGTTGTTCAGCTGATGAGACTGGATGTCCCAGCTGGTCTTCAGTAAATACCAGAATCCTGAAGAAGTAGGCTCCAAGGCCAGTGAAGGAACGGACTTGCCAGCGAGAGTGAGGGCAAGCAGGCAGAGAGCGAGCTTCCTTCTTCCATGCCCTTTACACAGGCTGCCAGCAAAAGGTGCGGCCCAGACTATAGGTGGATCTTCCCACCTCAAAAGATCTGGATTAGAAGAGAGTCTTCTCACTGCAATTCATTTAAGAAAAAAATCCCTCACAGGTGTGCCTGGCCATTAGGGTTTTAGTTCATTCCAGATGGAGTCAAGCTGACAACTGTAGCATGAATCTTAAAGAGTCTTATTAATAAAAACAAACCCAAGGTCAGTTATTAGGGTGAACGCTGGAAGATCAGAGAAGCAGAACAAGCCACAGCCATCTCACCTCGCCAATTCCTCAGGTGATCCTGTTTCCTCAGACTGGATGCCTCTGAGTCCTCATCCAAATGGATCTCAGCTGAACTGCTGCTCAAAAGCCTAAAAGCTTAACCAGGCTCTAGTTCCTCATCCTCACACCTTATATACCTTTCTGCTTTCTGCCATCACTTCCTGGGATAAAAGGCATGTGTCACTATGCCTGGCTATTTCCAGTGTGGCCTTGAACTCACAGAGATCCAGACAGATCTCTGCCTTTGGAATGCTAGGATTAAAGGCGTGTGTGCCACCATTTTCTGGCCTCTATGTCTATCTAGTGGCTGTTCTGTTCTCTGACCCCAGATAAGTTTATTAGGGTGCACAATACTTTGGGGGAACACAATATCACCACAGACAACCAAGGACAACCCTCAGAGAAAGCCAAAGGACAATTTTAAGAGTAGAGTTTTTTGTTGTGTTTTGTTTAATATTCTTTAGGTAGATGAGTATTTTGCCTATATGTATATATGTGCACCACATGAGTGCCTGGTGTGTGTGGAAGTCAGAAATGGGTGTTGAGGGACTGGAGAGATGGCTCAGAGGTTAAGAGCAGTGGCTGCTCTTCTAGAGGTCCCGAGTTCAATTTCCAGTAACCACATGGTGGCTCACAACCATCTGTAGTTAGATCTGGTGCCCTCTTCTGGCATGCATACATGCAGGCAGAACACTTGTATACATAATAAATAAATCTTTAAAAAAAAAAGAAATGGGTGTTGAATCCTGCAATTGTAGTTACTGATGTCTGGAAGAACAAGTGCTCTCTCTCATCAGCTGAGCCATCTCTCCAGCCCCAAGAGCAGGTTTTTTTTGTTTTTTTTTTTTTTTTCCGAGACAGGGTTTCTCTGTGTAGCTTTGCGCCTTTCCTGGAACTCGCTTTGGAGACCAGGCTGGCCTCGAACTCACAGAGATCTGCCTGCCTCTGCCTCCCGAGTGCTGGAACTAAAGGCGTGCACCACCACCGCCTGGCCCCAAGAGCAGTTTTTAAATAAATGCTTTAGGTCAAAAATATGAGTTTCTCCAGAAAATTAGAATAACTACCTCTATAAGAACTAACATAGCCAACTTTTCTTTTTTGTTGTTGTTGCTTATTTATTTGTTTGTTTGTTTATTTTTGAGACAGGGTTTCTCTGTGTAACAGCTCTGGACCAGGCTGGCAGAGGTCCCCTGCCTCTTGAGTGCTGGGATAAAAGGCATATACCACCATGCCCAGCATAAGGTCTCCAAACCTCTTAAAGGTATCTCCTGGGGGACAAGACTGTCCTCCACCTCCCAGTGGATCCCCACTGAATCATAGCTTAATATATACAATTACAAACAAATACAAATCCTATGTAGAATGTTAATTTGTGTGATTCCATATTGAAAAATCCAGCCAGAGGCTGAGGAGTTAGTTCAGTTAGTCAAGTGCTTGTCTTTCAGGAACGAGGACCTCAGTTCTATCCCCAGAAACCATGTTAAAAGGTGCCATGTCCTTCTAATGCCAGCACTGAGGAAGCAGAAACAGGCAGATGTCTGGCGTTTGCTGGCCAGCCAGCTTAATCTGCTTGGCGATTTCCAGCTCAGCAAGAAACTCTTGTCACCAAAAAGAGAGGAATGAGTGACAGCGGAATGCCTGATTCCAAACAGGGCATCTAGATCACTCCAAGGTTCAGGGAACATGGAAGAAGAGGAGGCAGAAAGAATGCAAGAGTTGGAGGATGGGAGGTGTGCTGCAAAAAAAGATGTCTTCTGGACATGACCACTTCTCTCGTGAACTCACCACCCTTGTGGTTACCTGTACAAAACGGAGCCCATCAACATTCCATTCCGACACCAAGCAAGGTGGGAGGGGCTCAGAGGATGAACGCCCCCCCTCCCAAGAACTATTGGCAGTCAATGGTTGCTGGGGAAGGGACGCCATTTTGTTCAGTGGTATAGCCACTGATAAATTGCCTGTGTGCCAATAAATAACTTCTCACCGACACTCTTACAAACAAATCTCGTTTAAAAAAAAAAGACATGAAAGGAGGAAGATTTGGCAAGAAGGCTTTCAGTGGGAAAGGAGGGGAAACGAGAGGGCAACGAAGGGCATGGAAACAACTGAAATTCGTTATAGAGATGTATGAAACAGTCAAATAAAAATAAACATTTTTAAAATCTCCCTGAATTCTATTTGTCAAAGAATCCAGGGCGTAATAAAATATTCTACTCTCCTTTTTTGAAGTGGATGCTTGTGGAATGACACTAGACATTGTCAACCTCTACACAAACATGCACACAAATATGCACTAGGACCCACCCACCCCAACCCAGCCACAGGATAACCTCATTTTAGATCAAGCCGCCTGGGAGCTGGAGAGATGGCTCAACAGTTAAGAGCACTGGCTGCTCTTGCAGAGAACCCAAGTTCAGTCCGCAGCACCCACCCAGAGGCTCATAACCATCCATACCTCCGGTTCCAGGAGATCAAACACCCTCTTCTGGTCCCCGGGGGCACCATACATGCAAGTGTTGCAGACATGCATGCAGACAAAACACTCATACACACAAAATTTTAAGATATAAAAAAAAATGTTAAAAGGAGATCAAGCTACCTTCCTTTGTGAGGCAAATCTGAACATGAATGAAAATAACTGCTTACCACTACTCCTAACCCAAAGAGTGGGGAACGATAAGCCCTGTAAATAAAGTCAAAATTCAGATTTCTCTTAAAACAGCTGGTAACATACAAAGTAAAATTACGTAGTTCACACACACACAATAGTGTGTGGATGTATTCATTTGCCTTCTGTGATAACTAACAGGGAAAAACAAGGGCTTATTGGAATCAGGAAACAAAGGTACAATTGAACTTGCTATTTCAAGAATACAAAAGAGCATATATTCTAGAAATAAAAGATGACAGAGTGGTGCATCAGACAAAGGACACTTCCTGTTTTAGCAATGGACCAAGCAACACATTAGATCTACTCAAAAAAAGGGGAGGGTGGGGGCTGTTCCACAAGTAAGAAACATCCTGTCCACAAAATAAGACAAACTGAGAAAATTATTAAAAGATGGTTCTCGTCTTTATTATTGGACTCGAGCATGTTTTAACAGACCGGTTTCATGTGTGTGACTGCAGCATCAAAAGAATACAGTGCCTTTTCAACAAATGCCTCATCCATGTTAATTTCCCTTTTAAATAATTATGAGTAGCAGCGTGGAACAGCATTTCCACACACTGACCAGTGCAACATTGACAGTTATAATTAAGGTATCCAGGAAGCCTGAAAATGAATTCTGTCACACAAATAAGTTTATTTCCACTTGTTCAAAACAAGGAAAATAATTTCAATTCATAAATTACACATTTACACACAAGAGCAAATTACTTTTCAATTCTATTTTTTTAATCTTAAATAAAGAACAATTGAAGCATTCAGTGATAATTTTGGCAAAAAGTAGAAGCAAACAAACATACAAGACGAAACAGTAGTGTAGAATAAATAAAGCCAAGTGTTAACATGTCTCAGTCTACCAGGAATATTGGCACTGTTTGCTAGCTGTACATCTGTCTCAATGCATAAAGATCTGAGGAAGACTCAACAGTTTGGACCAGGTCATTTGTCTCCAATAAAAGAAAGCCTAACTTCTATATTTTAAAAATGACTCTCTAGCGTTTGTCTTTTCATATACACAAAACACAAATATATCTCTTTTATATCAGTGGCAACCAGGTAATAGGCATGTGAAGATACTCTTTAAAAAGTTTTGCAAATGTCGTCCTTAAAAAATCCTGTACAGAATCACAATACTGACAGAATCGAATGCCCACAAGCGCCTTGCTGCTTTTATTTCAGTCCTTTTCCCACAAAAACCCATGCAGAAGAGTTCAAAGGATTATTAATACTTATCATAGGTAACTTGGGATTAAACAACCCATGGCTCTGGATGACTGGGACTCCGACTGAGACATTCCACCCACAAAGAGACTGCGTGCTCTGACATCTTTCAGACTTGACACTCTATAAATAAACCACCCTGGAGGCAAACCTCTCCACACACCAGCAATACTTATCAGAAATCAGCTAGGCCATAGTGATGGGGAGGGACTTCCATCCAGAAGACAGGATAGCAGCTGCTTTGGAGATGGCACACCTCGTCTGTTCTGCTCAGAAACCACAAAAGTGTTTACAGGGACTAAACTGGGCACTACAAAAGCAGAGGGTTGCCTGCACTAGTGTCAACAGTGGTATCGGTCCGTAGAACTTAAAGAGCAACATTTCTACACACACACACACACACACACACACACACACACACACACACACACACACACACACACGAGGACAAGGGCTCTTCCTGGGAGAATGCATAAAACAGGTTGAGAGAGGTACTTGGAGTATGCCAGTGATGACTTCTTCCTGCCACTCATTCGCTTGAGCAGTTTGGCATGTTCGTGGTCTTACCACTTCTTGTTTACTAGTCCTTAGTCTCAGCAACCATCTAGTTCAACTTTCATATGTAGCAGATGCACAAACATGCTGGCAACCACAGATGGTCTTGCTCAAGAAATCAGATTCCCTGTAACCCTCAAGTGGACCCAGTAAGGGTCTAAGAACATGACTTCAATGTCCAATGAAGGATACATGAACTTGACTTAAAACAGTTTACATAACTGTTGTACCTCCCTAAAGAAAGCTTGTAAACATCTGGTAAATGTGAATTAATGGTATAACGTTAAAAACTGGCCAAAAAAGATCCAGAAACATTTGGCCTTTCAGCACCCAAGGCTCCCCAAATATAATGTTAAAACATCTCTGCGAGAGGGATCTGAGTAATCTGAAAAATGTCATACCTGAGTGTTTAAACCGTTCTCCCCCAAATTTTTAAGAAGTGCAAGGAGTTTCCACACTCAGGAATTGCATAATTGTTTATCTGTCTTCAAAAAACAAAAATAGTGAATGATACAGAGGTAGCGTAATTTACTAAACCAACTTTGAAACCCAAAAACAAAAGAGCAAGGTAATTTTCAAATGCTAACAGGAGTATTGCAAGTGTCTAGGACTTGTGGACTTGGGCTTGCTTCTACCTGCTTTTGGATACCTTATTATTCTCATCTCTTTTCTTATCACGTGGACATTGATGAGTCCAGGCTCCCCTTGGCCCAGTAGCATCTACCGCAACATCAATGATAGAGTCGGGAGTCATCCATTGCAGGAAAATGAGGAAGAGATAGCTGAACACCGCCAGCAAAGCAAAAATGTAGCCCGTCACTGGGCCACAATGAGAGATGAGCCTGTTCAATCTCTTGTGCATTGGCAACACAGTTTCCTTCGACACACGCTCATACACCTGGAAGAGAGAAGGTGACAATGAGCACTCTGAGCCACCACATGCCTGTAACAAAGGGTGAGCCGTGACCGCACTGACCAGGAGCATCTGGCAAACACGTGTTGAGAGAATCACTCATGTTTGCTGTCATTTAGCACAGTGCTTACACCATTGACTTAATTCTGAGCTAAACACTGGGTGACACAGAGAACAGGTGACAGTCAGCTGACTACTGGAATATCAATGTCCTATAAGGTTGGAAGACATTTTCAGCAGCACACTGTTGAGCTGGGCCAATGCCTTGACAGGGTAAAGAAAGCTCTCACTAACCCTGGCAGACGGCACACACAATCACAGCACTGTACTGAGGAGGGATGGAGACACTAGAGAAATGGCTTCTACGTTGCAAGGAAAGCAGAAAGAAGATGCTGAGCGGCAGAGTAGGTGAAAATAACGGTAAGGAAAACAAAGAGGACGGTGCTAAGAACTGGGAGTTGATGCCTCGCTTTGTAAACCACTGCTGATCCCGCATCCGGAAACCAACAAGTTAGACATGCAAACTTGTCTCCGTAGGGATTGGCGAAAATCACAACGGACAGTGGACAGTGCAAGCTCTTCTGGAGGTGGGTGGCCTTCGAAAGGCATGATGCATATTCATCTAGCTCTTCTACCCTGCGAACATTTTAAGTACAAACATTTTAATCAGAATGATGTTGAGAAACTGAGGCTGGTGGATTGTAACTAAAATAAATAAAAATTAAAAAAAAACAAAATAGAAGTTCCGTATAGCAGAAATGCTTAACTTTTTTTTGGAGATAGGGTTTTATGTAGCCCAGGTTGGCCTCAAACTCATTAGGTAGCTGAGGACGGCCCTGTCACTGCCTCCAGAATGCTGGGATTACAGGTGTGTACCACCATGGCCAACTTTCCAATTTACTCTTCAATCACTGTTCTAAGCAACCCACTCAAATTAAAAGGAGTTGAAAAGGATCAAAATGTCCATGAGGTAAAAGACAAAACAACTTGTCTGTCCATCTTCACTTGAGGTCAATTAACTTATTATCTTAAGTAATAAATAATTTATGACTACAAAGAGAACATAATTATTATAAATGAGGATTTACTTTTTTCTGTTTGTCTGGCTCTTTGAGATAGGGTAGCACAGAACTAGCCTGGAACTCACTTTACTGCCTAGGTTGGCCTGAAACTCGTGGTCATCCTCCTGCCTCAGACTCCCAAGTGTAAATCACCATGCCCGACCGGATTTTTTTTCCTTTTTCTTTTTTTTCTTTTCTTTTCTTTGCAAATATGTAGTATAAATTAGCTGAGAATATAAAAGAAAACATAAAAGATGTTTTACTATTACCTCAAAGCAAAACTACAAGACAAGTATTTTTACAAAAATGCTCCTTAGAGCCTTTAACACAGGCTGGTAAACTGCCACCAGAGTTCTTTCCTGAGTTGCTTACTGACAACAGCTCCGACTTAGAGGTTTACATGATGATGAAGTCAAATCACAATTTACAGAGCTATGATTCCAAATCAGGGCGGAGTCTACGATCACCCAAAAAACCGGTCTGGCCAAATATTCCTGCCAACCATAATCCAAACTGCGTTTCTGTTCCACAAAGGACAAGTCAGAATTTAAGGAGTGGTTAGGGAGGTAAGGGGACAGGAAAATGGAAGACGTAGTCTGAAGAAGCTAGCCACATGATTCTGACATGCACCCCCACTCAGCCCAACTTCCAGAAGGAAAAAAATATGGCAACTATTTTCCTAAGCTGATATACCTCTCCAGTCAAAGTTATGTCTGTTTCCAATACCTCTTATGTCAATGAAGCATATAGCATATGCCCATTTTTAAATGAGAACTTGTATCTCAAACCAAGAGTCTCCAGGATGGAAATCTTCTGTATTTAACACCAAATGCATAAAGCCTGAGTCTGAACTATTGACCCTTTTCATGCTCCACTCGACTGTCTTTCTGGTACAGGGTTTATTTGTTTGCTTTTTTCTTTTCTTTTCTTTTTTCCGAAACAGGGTTTCTCTGTGTAGCCTTGACTGTCCTGAATCCAGATCTGTAGACCAGGCTGGCCTCGAACTCACAGAGGTTTCACCTGCCTCTGTCTCCCAAGTACTGGGACTAAAGACATGCACTACCACCACCCAGCTGGTACAGGATTTCTATATACTAAGAAAGTAAGTTGTTTTCTTCAGCTTGGCATGTGGTAACATGAGGAATGAGGCAGAAGTAGGTAGACACAAGGGGGACTTAACAGATGAGATTGAGTAGAATATACATTACAGCATTCCCACAACTGTCCTCTCTAAGAGGCTCTGTCAATCCTGTGTGTGTCTTCTTGGAAATTCCCTGTGGCTCCTTTCTTACCGGTGACTATTTGTTCTTAATTTCACATATATCCTCAATTCTTTTTTTTTTTTTTTTTGGTTTTTCGAGACAGGGTTTCTCTGTGTAGCTTTGCGCCTTTCCTGGGACTCACTTGGTAGCCCAGGCTGGCCTCGAACTCACAGAGATCCGCCTGCCTCTGCCTCCCGAGTGCTGGGATTAAAGGCGTGCGCCACCACTGCCCGGCTATATCCTGAATTCTAATACAGTGTCAATCGGCCTAAAGTTATGACAGTCCTTTCTGGCAGAGTATCAGTCATCAGGAAATGGCTACCAGAGTTCCGGGAAGTATTCTGAATCAACGTTCACAATTTAGAACCGGCACTGCAATCACCTACCCATTTACTAACAGGCCCTGTGTGCTACTGGACTATAAACAGCCCCAACACAATGATTTACTTTTCTTTTTGCTTCTGACTGCTGCAACTTCTAGAAACATTTGTGACTTCTTTAAAAAGAGTTTAATGAGACTAGACTGTGTTGGTACTATTTTCAGAGGCCAGGGCAGTGAATTATGTAGAAAATTAGCCAAGCATGTGCACCAAACCTGGTGCAAAACTAGTAATTCCTTTCCATTTAGGAGGACTCACACCCTCAAACCAAAAGTCAAGGGGTGAGAGAAGCAAATGTGTGTGCAAAACATCAAGGACTTCGGACAATCTTTTCTCAACACGTGACATACTTTTTCAGTTCTCTCCGCCACATTCCGCCAGGTGTAGAAAGCCTTTACTACATTGTGGATATTTTCTGGAGCTGGCAACGTCCCCGACTTCACTTGGAAAATAGCTTTTTCCAGGCCTTCACACAACGATTTTACTGAAGGCTCACATAAAATAATAAGATTTTCCGGAAGGACTTCAGGAATCCCACCAACCTTCGTGCTGACAACCTTAAAAAGACCGGAGAGAGCACACAATTCACTGTAATCATTTCCCAGGAAAAGCAAAAGACCAAGCTAAAAAATATCAATTTGGCATGTACTACAAATACAGAATCCCACAAGAGAAGCCCTTAAAGTGTTTTACCTGCAGACCACAACTGGCGGCTTCCACGATGGCCATGCAGAATGCTTCAGTGAGGGAGGTGTTGAGAAAAATATGTCCTTGAACTAAGACATTTCTAACATCCTTGTGTTCTAAAGCTCCCAATAGTTGCACCCTAATTTTTGCAATGAGAGGGAGAGAAAGGTGTAAAATTAAAAAAAAAAAAAGTCATGCCACAAAAGGAATTTAATTCCTAAGCTAAGTCTGTTATTTATATTACTCTTACTGGTACTAATGTTTCCTACCTGAAAAGACTAGATATGGCCAAACACCAATGTAATAGAAACAATCTTAGAAACCTATTGTGTTATAGCTCATACAATGCAATTTCATCTTCTCCAAAGTTTGGGTTTAATGAATATTAAGTTTTTGTTTTTTTCAAGACAAAGTCTCACTATGCAGCCCTGGCTGTCCTGGAACTCACTCTGTAGACCAGGCTAGCCTCAAACTCAGAGATCCGTCTGTCTCTGTCTCTTCCTACCAAGTGCTGGGATTAAAGGCATGAGCCACTACACCTAGCTAATGAACAAATTAATAATAAAATCGTCATTAAATGTTAAAAGCGTCATTTCTAAGTGGGAAACTAACCTTTTTAAAATCAGCACTTCACATAACATACACTGTGTGTTACAGAAATTACGGAGGAACAGATATGTCTGAACCTGTATGTGTACAGCAATTTCCATGACTGGATCAGGACACTTAAACCACACACAAGATGGCTTGGAAACCTGCAACCATTTCCAACCAAAGTTCTCCCCCAACCCCTATGCCTTTCATCATGCCTCTAACACCTGCCCCCAAGTCAATATTCAACTAACAGACAAAAGTTGTGTATTCTATAAGCTTTCTGATTTGATATAAACTCACAAAAACGTGCCTTAGAAGCAGGAGCACACCTAAGTCAGGCATGCGGACAAAAGCAAACACAAACAGCTGCCATTTTCACACCCACAATGCCTTGGAAGCCGTTAATACCTGTCATGTAGTTGGTATCTTTCCCGTACTTCTTCCAAAATGATTCTCTTTGGTCCCTCTCCTCCAATTAGGAAATTTAATTCTTGATATTTCTGACAGAGTTCAGGTATTATACCACTAAGCAAATCAGTCCCTGAAATTATAAAGTTGAATATTGGAAATATTAATAATTTCACATTTAACAAACTCAGAGTCCCAGAGTATCCACTTGTTTTAAGTATCAACTACAGCTAGCCTCTCTGAAGTAGACAAACCAAGGCTCTTAAACTTTCCCCAGAAGGGGGGAATTATTTACAACTGCTATTGGTTCCCAAGAGTTACAACACTTGAAGATTCAGGTTCTGACATGCATTGCTACTGCCACATACCCAAGTCATGAGCAACCCTGTTGCAGCTCTGCATCCTTTAAGCCATTCGCTTGTTCCTATCGCCTATGTCGAAAATGGTGTTTAGGATAGCTACGGTTTGTCAGCTTTCTCCAGAGCACACAGCTGACTAGAAATCTAGGTCTCAGTCCAGCTCTTTATTTTTTTTTAAAAAAAACCAATCCACCCTCTCCTGGCCTAGTAAATGCAGAGACATATATATCTAAAGTCCAAAGTCTCCAGCTATAAAAATCAACAGGACTATGATTCCACTTTCTGCAGCAGGAAAGGGCTAAGCAATGGCCTTAGCTCCTGCCTTCAGTTTGTTAAGACTGCAGTTTATACAGAGAATTTCAGAATGAACACCAGTGAATGAAGGCGGCAGGGCCTGGGCTGGAAGATCATTATAGTCCATAGGCCTACGGCTCTATCTTTCTTTTGTTTTTAAAAAAGAAAACGGCTTTCATATAATATGTAAGCACGATCTCAGGAGACAGAAAGCAATAGAGTAAGTCACAGCCTACTGGCATAAAGAGCAGCTAGCTAATGCTACAGCAATGCTGACTCTATCTGGGAACTTAGTTCATCAACAATTACAAACCATACATCCAAAAGTAAACATGAAATAATCCACTGAGCTGAGTTATTCAATTAAAATATGCACACACATAAATTTGCATATGCACACAAACCACATTTTTCCCCCATCAATCTTCCTCAAAATAGGCATAGTGGGAGAATATAGGTTCACGTGGATTTTCTTTTCTTTTCTTTATAGATTACAAACCCATCCCTTCTTTAATATTGTGTGAATAAGGCGGATAATGATGAGTCCCTACAGACTCTCATTTAGTGTTCTTTTGAGCCAGCTAAAAGTAACAACCAGATGCTGGATGTGGTTTGTCACTACCCAGTCACACCACCCTAGCAAACACTCGGGCAGTCCCCCACTGTACGTACAGTCTGACTCCACACTCTCAGAATGGCTGTCCACTGATTCATTAGGGACCCAAAGAAGTGACTTTCCAGATAAAGGAAATTCCTTTGTTCTTTACTTTGAGATATTGAACATATAGATAAAAATATCCGTTCCCTGTATCTGACTTCTTTGGGGACATTTTCTGCTCTAAGCTTCTATCTGACAGGCTAAACCATAACAAAACCATTTCTTCCCCAGATTCTTTCCTTTATAAGAAATTTAGCTTTGGCTATTGTGAGGTTCTGAAGTTGCCTGTGTCTCTGGAAGCTGCTCAGAATTTAGTCACTTTGTGGAATCACCAATGGATTTTCAATGATTACATACCCCAAAAACCGATTCAGACGGAGGTTTCCTGAATGAACAAGGCTTCCCACTTGCTGTCTTTGTTTCAAGTCTCTACACGTCAGCCGGATAACCAGGAAGCAGCTTAGTACCACTTACCACTCAGCTTCCCACCCTTTCTCCCTTTCCCTCCTTTAAAAGAGAATATTAGGCACCCCTTCTTCATACAAAGAAAGATGGAGCAATCATTACGGATACTGACAATGGCTACGTTTACTGAACTGACTATATTCACAATCTACTTCAAATGTTATTTAATCCTGACAAAAACCTCATACGAAGCGAAGCCAGCGACTACCATCGATGCTTTATTATAGTACTCTAGGAATAAAGCAGGTTTTCCCTCCTCACTATATAACAAACAAACCAAACACAACCAACAAGCTTATTCTGGCTAGATTCTAACAGAAAACACACCCCACAAAAGACTACCGGTCACCACATTCACACAAAACAGACAAAAAAAAAACCAAACAAACAAAAAAACCTCTGATTCAAATTGACTTTAAAGCACAGTCCAACCATGTTTCAAAGAATGTTCAGATCTGTTCTAGGATAACAATGGCCAGACTGTGGGCAGGGTCACAGGGAGACCTTGACTCATGAGCTGGATTTGTTTGTGATCTGTTACTTACTGTGTAACCTTGGGCAAACTACTTCCCCTCTCTGAGAACTGTTTCTTTGTTGCATGCAGGTAACATCTACCCTACAGCTGTCGGGGCAAGTGCGGTACTGCACCATGCACAGGCTTTATCAGCTGCAGAATACAAATGTTATGTTGTCGTTACCACTACAGCAAGCGGCTAGAGGTGCCTGCACATACAGAGAACAGTGGGGAACCCTGACTAGATGGAAGCAAGAAGGTGCAGAAGGCAGTCTTACCTCCATGAAAGCTGGGCAAGGAGAACATGGCTCTATCCTCTGACATTACTTCAATAGGCCTTGAAAATCTGGTCCACTGAACATCTTCCAGGGGAATTACAGTATTAGGAAGGAATGGACCATAATATAACTACTCACATTTGAGCTACAGATGTGACCATTGCTCATGTTACATTTGGCAGGGTGCCTGGCCTATGGAGAAGGTTCAGTATATCTGTTGAATTATTGAATTGAAAACAGGAAGGGCTATACTTTGACTCCATTGTAGCTAGCTCTGAAGATTAATACCACATTAATAAGATAAAGTAACACATTTAACCTTTGTATGAGTAGTTGTGCTGATTTTCAATCATACAAGGCATTGTACTTTCTCATCCATTTCACCAAGGTAAGCTATTTGATTAAAAAAAATAATTTGGGCCAAGTTTGGAAGTTATAATAAATACATCACCAGTATCCCAGAAGGGGTGCAGAATACGGAATTCCATTCACAACATCTTGATTAAACAGCAAGACATGAGTTCCTTTATCCCAGAAAACATAATTGAGTCCAAGTTTTCTAACAAACTTCCACTTAAGGGCGTTGTCCAGAACTACTACAGTCATCACCTACACTGACCACTAAAAACTCCCAGATACGCTGCTACATGACAGAGCATAACCTGTTGGCATTTCTCCACAAATTCATCTTGTACCCATTCTCCTTACGACTGTACTGAATAATGTAATTAAATATCACAGCAGCTCAGCTGACAAGTTTTTACAAGAGCTAAATAGTTTGAGAGAGCCAATGAGTGAATGCCAGATGAGAGGTGACCTAAACTGGAGAGTAAAACTGAGAAAAAAATGCCAAATCCAGCACATTGCTTCAAACATTTTAGTCCCCCTCCTTTAAAGGAAACCCAGAGCAACTGTGCAAGATGGCGCAGCCAGAATCAGTGAGCTGATCCTCGAATCCTAGAGCTCTAAACCAAGCTCCCTATAATTCAGCATGTGCTCAAATGTTTTAAACTCTAATAGTTAAGGGGAGCATGTAATATTGGTTACTGACTCCCCACCCCACAAACCTTCAATGATATTTCTGACTATTGGACAGCTTTTCAAATACCACCGGGAGACCATTTCTATGGTAATAGGCAGGTTGCTTCCAATGTGTAATAAACACAAATGCCACAGTGGGGACCAAAATGGGAAAACCAGCAACGAGAACAAAATACTCCTGGGGGATAACAGAGGACGGAGGTGGAATATAACCTAGGCAAAGATCTTTATGTGAGTTGTCTCTGATCCTTCCCAAAGTTCCTGTTGTGACCTAAACAAACAAACGCTGTCGCAGAGCTATCAAGTGACCTATCTTTGATCCGCAATAGGCCACCTTCTCCTTTCTTTATCACTTGACTGCTGATATCAATGCTTTGCAGATGACCAGATAAAACCAGCAAGCCACAGAACAGCTATGTGCCCAAAAGGCCTACTGATTCTGAACAATGTGTACAGATATACAAAAGACAAGAAGCTGCCAATGAAAATAGTCATCATGACCATCTCTGAATAAAATGGTCACATATGTGCTATGTGAGCTTCAAAAACATCTGCAATTAAGAAACCATTACTTCTGCAATCAAAAAGAAAAGGCCACAGAGCACATTCTGTTCTGACTACCTGTGCAGGGCTCCTGAACTTCTACAAAGAAATAACTGATTACAGGACATCAGGTAAATGCTTTTTGTGGTTGTTATTGTGGTTCAGTAACCATTACAACCTCAAAGGTTGGGGCAGCATTCATAGCTATTCTATACGTTTCTCTTCTTAGATACATAAACTTGATATCCAACCTTCCCTTGCAATAGTTACAAGTCATTATAAAGCCACCACACAAAATGAAAAGGCAAGCAATCGTTATATACAAGTATTGAACAGTTTTCTACAAGGAATAAAAAAGCCATCAATGCAAATAGAGCTACTATTTCATTACCTTTTCTGTAAACAAGTCTGCTGACAACAACAATAGTTATTAGACTATCATGCCTCCTAAATGGCTCTGGAGTGAAGTCAGTAGGATCTACAGCGTTAGGAATGACGGACACTATTTCAGGATTCAGTGCTGCTCTTAGTACAGTGTTTTCCTTACTAGTGTAAGAGACACAAATGATGTGGTTTGTGTCACAGAGAGACACAGTTAGAAGCTTGTTTGTAAGCACCGAGCTGACATCAGCAAATCCAAAAAGGGAATGGTCCGTGAAGACTGTCTGAAGCCCCATTGTCTTGGCGTGGAAGAGAGCGTCATGGGCCATGGCAGAAAAAGAACTGTGGGAATGGATTATGGTAACTCTCTCCCGGACAAATATGTACCTGAGCAATGGCAGACTGTGGAAGAGAGTCGTGGCTGTAGATTGGTTGTACATGACTCTGAGAGGCAAATAATAAACTTTGAGGCCATTGGTGAGGTAACGGACACCCTTTCGATTTCCGTAAGCATGGGTGATAATTATGACCTTGTGTCCCCTCTCAATGAGGCACTGAGAGAGCTGGTAAATGTGGCTTTCCACACCTCCCATGTTTGGGTAGAAAAAGTCAGACACCATGCATATATTGTGGGTGCAGGTCCTATTGGCAGAAAGACTTCGAGGGCTAAACCGGGAAGGCGTCACTGAGGGAGGCTGGCCATGCCCACCTCGTCTTCTATTGGCCATGCTGAGGTGGTTCAGGCATCAGTTCTCAGAGCAAGCCAGTTAAGAAATGTGTCTTCCATCACCTGAATGAGAAAAACAGGACATCAGCTCAAAGCCACAGCCCATTTCATATTCCAAATCCTGTTAGAAATAGTTTTAATGTTAAGGCATCTTTTAAAGCTTTCCCCCTAAATGTATTCATTTGACAACATCGACTTGCTTAGCATGGTGACGTGTCATATGACAAAAACTAAATTCTATGATGTGTTAACTGAGCTAGGAAACTGGTACATTTCAAATGTTAGGACATCGTACACAATGGTTTGCCACAGTACCAAACCAATTCTTTCCAATAATAAAACATCAAGCATATATTTCCCACCTCCTTTTATCACTTTATCAGCTTCTACTTACTAAGTCACTATATATCCAACACTATACAGACTAAGAGTTTTCTATACGTTACTGTAGTCTAGTTGACACATCTAAACAAAGAATCAATTCTATAATGTAAATGCAAAATCTAAAGCTTAAAGAAGTTAGAGGGAACACAATGCCATAGGTTATTTCATTAGTGATCCTCTCGACCCACATTTTTTTAAATCTGAGTTTTATCTATGTAGCTCACACTGGCCTTGAACTCCTGATATTCCCAGTCTCTGACTCCTGAGGACTGGGATTAGAAGCGTGCACCATCGCACTCCAGAATCTCCCTTGCATTTGAACTATTTAAGCCATAGAACATAGTAGAAGTGACACACAAATCTTTGACATCGGCCTATAAAAGGTCTGACGGCTTTCACTTCTGTAGTTACCACATAAGTCATGAAACTACTGGTCTAGAAGGACATGGGGGAAGCAAGGCGTGCTGGCGCACACCTTTTAGCCCAGTACTCAGGAGGCAGAGGCAGGTGCGTCTCTGTGAGTTCAAGGCCAACCTGGTCTACAGAGTGAGTTCCAGGACAGCAAGAGCTACACAGAGAAACCCTGTCTCAAAAAAGACAAACAAAAAAAAAAGAAAAGAAAGAAGAAGAAGAAAGACATGGAGAAGACAATGAAGAGAAAAAGTGCTTACAAGCTACATGGAGAGAGGTAGGGACCTCGCCATCTCTACGCCCTTACCCGCACCCAATCTCTAAGCAGACTATTAGCTAAACTATTAGCAGCCTTCCCCAGCGACCCCTGAAAAGAATCACAAAAGTACCACTAGTTAAGTCTAGTAGCAGATTCCAGAATTATGAAAAAGAGCAAAAAAACTGTTGTTTTCTAGCACTATCTTTTGTTCTGATTTGTGAGGCAAAAAAAAGATACTAAAACAGGCTAGGTTCTGAACCTAATTAAACTAGCACAGTGTCTATTTTTATAAACAAAATTTTACAGGAACATGGCTTGCTCATTCATGTGAATGGCTACTTCTATGCTACAATGCAGAATGGCTTTGAAAGAGATCATATGACCCACAGAGCCTAAAATTATTTACCATCTGGCTCTTCACAGAAAATGTGCTGATGGCCGCTGTACAGCTTAGCCAGCAATCCAATTCATCCCATACGGTTCTGTTGGTTAGCTCTGTGGTTTCCACTCAAATATATCCGGAGCTAGAACTTTCTTTTTGAGAGCACCCTCTTCAAGTGTTACCTGGAGCTCATGCTGCGGATGACCCAGTTTCTCCTTCCTTATTCAAGGATGCTGAGACTCAAGCTGCTCCCTTCTCTTTTCTGAACCTCTTTTAGTTATGTAGCCTTTCCGCCATGAGTGCCATCCTTTCAGTGCAGACTCTGAAAAGAAACATAGAACTGGGCATGGAATGCATGTAGGGCTCTTTCCTACATTTATGGTAGGAAATGCTTTTCTTCTTTTCTTTCTTTCTTTTTTTTTTTTTTTTTGGTTTTTTGGAGACAGGGTTTCTTTATGTATATCTGGTTGTCCTGGAACTCGCTCTGTAGACCAGGCTCAAACTCACAGAGATGCACCTGCCTCTGCCTCCTTGGTGCTGGGATAAAAGGCATGTGCCGCCACCACCACCTGTTGGAAATGTTTCTTTTAGGAGTCTCCTAAAGTTATGCTGATATGAAATGTTCATACAATATTCAGTTCTATAGATGCTTACATTTTTAACGCTAGAGCCTTGGAGATCTGGCAAAAATCCTCCTTAGCTGAGATCTACAAGGCTGCAAGAACTCAATGGAGAATTACTATCCTAAATGCTGAGTTTCAGGTCTCACCTGCAAACTATGTGTCAATTTTCTCCAACAAATTCATCTACACTTAAAATATTCTCGGAAATACAATGTGGGGAGGCAAGGGAGGAGCATGGACTTGGGAGGCAGAGGGTTGAGGGTTCCAGAACAGGTGAGACTGGGCTACATGGCAGGGGGACTCTGTCACATAAACTGGAAAAAGAAGAAAACAGAGAAGATTGAATTTGTAACCAATAAATAATGAAAGCAAAAAAATATCAAGTTTGCAGAAAAAAAGGAAAGCTTCAAGTTAACACTTTTAAGTGGCTAATGCTGTTCTACTGCAGTGTGGCATTTAAACCTGAACCTTTAGTCCTATTCAGTTTTAAGAAATGAATGATAAGCAGAAATAATGAACCAACTGAAATTATCTGAAAGTCTGCCACTGACCTCCAATGTTCTGTTACGAGTCTGCCTGCCAGCAGGTTATCATCCTAAAATCTCTATTGCGTAAAATCTCAGCATATTGCATACTCACTGTATCTTAGCTTCTATAGGTTAAGGGAGAGGCTGTAAAATCTACTGAATTCATGGAACAGAGGCTGTAAATAAAATACGGTGGATTCTCTCTCGAGCATTACAGGTTGAGCGATCTGTTCAACGTTAATGACAAAGTCAAGAAGACCTCAAAATTCTCGATCATGGCCAGGGAGCTCCCTTATTAGTAGAAGCTCCCGAGGAGCCTTAGACCGGGATCGGGCGGGGCTGAGGAATCAAGAGAACCGTACTTTAATCCAGTCCCAGGGCAGTGCACACTCCCTCAGTGGCAGTTGAGTGTACTAGAGCCAAAGAGAGGATCAGCCCGGGTTCAAAAGCCACCCCTCCAGGATCAGGCAAGGTTTGGCCAGACCCAAAGGGAGTCAAAAAAAAAAGTCCTGAGGTTCCAGTCCCTCGCTCTATTAAACTCAGCCTAAGAACCGGCTCCAGCTCTCTATGAATCCTCAGCCCCATTCGACTCCGGAGACCCTCGGACCCGACTTCCGGGCCTCAGGCAGCATGGGCTTCATCCCCTCCACAGCTTGTCACGCTCCTACAAGAACCGTACAAGCCCGTCAGGAAGAGCGGCTGAGCATTAGAAAGGATAGCCAAGACGCGCACTTACCCTCGAGTCCCATGGCCGCCTCTGTCCGGACCTCCCGCGGCTGTAAGCAGAATCCTGCCCCCCTGCTCCAAAGCACCAATCAGAAGCGTCCGCGACCCGAGCGCCGCGCCCCCTTAGTAGCCAATCATGCAGAGGTTCCGAATACACGTGAAAGAGAGACGCCCAGTCATTCCCAACTCTCCAGCGCCGGGTTGTAGCGTCAGCGAGCGCCGGAGCACGTCTCCTAAGAGCTGCGGAAGGTCCCGGGCGTACGTACCCTAGTTGCCTAGTTACAGCGTCTCTTTTCAGGAAGCCCGCTCTCTCCTCGCCTCCTTCCGGTTAGAGAGACTTAGGCGAGAAAGGCTCAAGGAACTCAACTCAGGGTCACGGAATTTTATGATCAGTACCACAGCCAACTCAACCACGCTGGTTCTTATTACTCTGGCACGGTTGCTAAATGCAATAAACAAAAGTACACAGTTGAAAAAAAAAAAACAGCAAGTCAAAACGAAATTATGAACTTTGAATTTCAGATGTACATTTCAATGAACGTCCCAAAGATTTTGGACGTTTCTTTTAAAAGTTCAGATTTTGGATTTTGTCTTACAACTCTACAGTCTAGGTGGGAAGAAATCTTAGGTATAACCTGAAATGCTCCCACTCAAACTGTCGCAGTCCTCAGCCGAAAGTGTCTTGAGGTCTGGAGCCAGATCATGGTATAGTGGTGCTTGGCCAAGAAGACAGAATCTATGTGATTGTTCTAGTGGTCACCCACTCTTTACAGTTGGTACTTGCAGTTCCCCGGCACTGCCATTCCTGCACTTTCTAGACTAAATTCTTTTCTGAGCAACATCACCATCACCATGAGTGGCATCCCTTTGAAACCTGTGCTAAAGTTAAGGCTAAATAAAGTTGTAGTACAGTTGAGTTAAATCTGGGGATGATTTTAATTGTAGTATTCTGTCTGAATGACCTCAAAGCATGCCTTTAGAGCAGCAGTTCTCAACCTGTGGGTCTCAACCCCTTTGGGATCAAACAACCCTTTCACAGGAGTCACATATCAGATATCCTGCATATCAGATATTTACATTATGATTCATCATAGTAGGAAAGTTACAGTTATGAAGTAGCAACAAAAATAATTTTAGCCGGGCGGTGGTGGCGCACGCCTTTAATCCCAGCACTCGGGAGGCAGAGGCAGGCGGATCTCTGTGAGTTCAAGGCCAGCCTGGGCTACCAAGTGAGTTCCAGGAAAAGGCACAAAGCTACACAGAGAAACCCTGTCTCGAAAAACCAAAAAATAAAATAAAATAAAATAATTTTATCGTCGAGAGTCACCACAACATAAGGAACTGTATTAAAGGGTTACAGCTTTAGGAAGGTTGAGAACCACTGCTTTAGAGAATGTTATTGGAAACCACTAAAATGTTGATGTGCAGTATGTTCTGATGATACTTAAAATATGAAGGAAGTTAGAACTGGTTGTACTATCAAATGTCCCAAACAGAAAAGATGTAAAATAAATGTAGGTATCATCTTCCCTTGAAATTTAGTTCTTTGCCAATCCATATGTAAATAAGCTTCCTTGAATAATTTTAGAGTGGGCAGGCATCACACATGTATTGAAAGCTTGCTATCTATATGCAAAGTAGATGAAAAGAAAATCTGGCATGAGTACTATTTCCAAACCAAGATGAAACTAAAGCATATGAAATGGTCTATGAGAAAAGGAACTGCTAAGTGTCATAAGAGAAATACATGGAGAAATGCTGGGAGTTCCAAGGGAAAGAATATTTCCATCAGCTAGCATTTATGAAACGATGATTAGAGGCTATCCATACAAGTTGAGAACGAGAGCCTTTTAAGAAAAAAAGTGAATGAAGTTACAGAGGCAGATGTTGACTGTTCAGTGGATATTTTTGTGTATATAAGAAAGAAAGAGGGAAGACATGTGGCCAGAATAGTGGCATTGGCAGTAAGAATAAGAGCAAACTGGGCCAGGCGGTGGTGGCGCACACCTTTAATCCCAGCCCTCGGGAAGCAGAGGCAGGCGGATCTCTGTGAGTTCGAGGCCAGCCTGGGCTACAGAGTGAGTTCCAGGAAAGGTGCAAAGCTACACAGAGAAACCCTGTCTCGAAAAACCAAAAAAAAAAAAAAAAAAAAAAAAGACTAAAAGCTACATAGGCCCAGGACATTGTAAGTGGTGGCAGTAAACTGTGGACCAGGGGTTAGCTCCTGTAGAATAATAGATACTGGCAGGATCCATGTATGGCTAGGGACAGGAACTAACCCTGTGAGAGACTTTTACATTGGTGGCCTTCAATAAACCACCTGTCAATTGATCTTCTTTATTTAACTCCCTCCCACATCGAGTCTGAGGTTTGACCATGTGGCTTGCTTCACCAAAGATACTCTCAGCAACTGAAGTGCAGCCAATGCTTCATAAGTGTTTATGAACTGGCCCATGCCCTGCTGGAACCTTTGCTCTTGAAAGCCAATGGCTATGTGGGTAAAGAAGCCCAGGCAAGATGTTAAATGAGAACAGCCATACGGAAAAAGACTCTGAAGAAAGAGACTTATGTTGGCCATTCCAGCTTTAGATGAGTTCTACCTTGATAGAATGACTTCAGCCTGTTCTGTGTGGAGCAATATAACCTCCTAGCCAATCCTTGTCAACCAACAGAATCAGGAGAAATAAAATCTTGAGAAAGTCATTGTTGACTGCAGATACAAAGTTTTAGTGACGTTTGTTACACAGCAACAGATAACTTGCCTGAATCTCATCTTCCTACTAGATAATGGATATTGAAAAACTTGGTTGCAACAGTTGGTACCTGTCTAGGGATAGAATTGAGCTACTTAAAAAGTGATCTTCAGTATGCCATCGTCACTGCTAGTGTGGTCTATGTCTCACAGATACACTCTCATGGAGGTGAGAGAAGCATGTTCCAGCTCTCAAGAAATTTCCAAAAACATTAGAATAGATGTAATACTAAGAAAGACAACACAGAAATGTAGCAAAGGAAACTGAATTCACTCCAAATCCCATTAAAATAATAGATGAATGTGAAAAAACTGAAAATAAAAGTTTTGAAAAAAGTATGTCAAAATGAAACGAATATCAACTGATATTAAATAACCAATTAGAAAATTTGAAGAAGTTAGTGAATTTTTTAATGTAGGGCTGGAGAGGGATGTAGTTGAGCAGTCCCATGCTTGCCTTCTATCATACCCAAGCTTTTGGCTTTGATTCCCAGCACCACAAGCAAAACAAAATGCTGCATTTCCTCATCCTGGTAAGTGGAAGCTACACAGCATTAAAAACAAAAGCTGTGAGCCAAAACAATCCCTTCCTTTAGTTTTGAGTATTTTATCATAGCAATGAGAAACCTAACAAATACAGAAAAGTAGTACTTGGAAGTGGGGCCGTTGCTATGATAAATCTGACCATGTGGTTCTTGAGCCTTCGAAAAACCCTGGAGTGCGGTAAGCAGAGCCTAATGGACCACATTGGTGGTAGCTTGGCAGATAAGAATCCTGAGAGAAACACAGTCCCTGGAGGGCTGACTGGCTCAAGAGGCTTCAGATAGAAGGAAGAATCTCATCAAGAACTGAGCCAAAGGGAATCCTAAGGCAGAACAGACAGAGAGGGAAACTTATGGGGCCACGAGAAGAGAAAGGAGTTGGAGTCTGCTTGAAGCTGTTCACGATCCAAGATCAAGAGTTCCGTCACAGCTAAGTGCAGGGGCACACACCTTTAGATGTCAGCACTGGGAAGGCAAACACAAAGGCAGGTAGATCTCTGTGAGTCGGAGGCCAGCCTACATAGTGAATTCCAGGCCAGTCAGAACTATCCAGTGAGACTGTGACCGGCCTGACAGAAAGGAAGATATTCTAAAGAGACTCTTGTGTCTCTCAGTTGAACTATCAGACAGTTGAAATAATGGACCAAAAAAACCCTGGAAATTTCTCCAGAAAACTCAAGCTGGGAGAAGCAAAAAGAGCCATCTAAAGGGGTAACTTGTCTCCCAGAAAGAGATTCCACAGTGTTCTAACAACTTTATCTGACCACTTTATAGGACGAGACTGAAATCCAGATGATAATGAGTCCAGAGTGGGCCGTTCCACACCTTGAGCAGGACTACTTACATGTGCATATCCTTGGCCCTCTGTTTAAATTTTGATCTTACCTCAGGACCCAGAAGGGGAAGGACAGACTTGAGGGCTTTGCTGGACCTCTTTGTCCCTCTTCCTGATGTGGCCACATTGAATACATCCACTTTTCTTTTGGCTCTTTTCATTGGCTTATTGAGGACAGGTAGCCAGGCCTGGCTTGGGACACAGGTTCTGACCCCCAAGTTTGATAAAAAAAAAAAAAGACCTTGTCTCAAGACAGAAAGACAGAGAATCCTAGCACAATTAAAATTAACATCTGACTCAAAGATTACTGACACAGTGATAACATTCCTTTCCTATATGGATATTATGAGTTAACATAGCAAAAACTAAGGCTTAAGACCTAAATGTACATGGCCTTGAGGGAGTGCTCATTCCTTCCCCTAGACATTTTCTGGGACTCTCAAATAAGACTACTAACCCTGTTAACAGTAAAGATACAGCCCTGCATTCCTGTCATTTACAACACTACCTTGTCATTATTATCCTGTGCCAGGCCCTTTGGGAACCACCCTGTGATCTCATCTAGGGTCCTTAGCAACCCTTTGAAATTATTAGCTCCAAAACCACCCAAATTCTATATGTGGCTCTTATTAAAGACAATGGGATGTGAGTTTCTCAGAGAAGCCCACACCCATGCTCTTGGGTGTGTCTTCCTTTCTTCCCACACATACCTTTCCTCCTTTTAACCCTAGCGCTGAAGAAAATCTATATTAAAATGTCATTTAGGAAACTCCAGCTCTACTTCATACTGTTTCTCCCTAAAATGGTTTTCTGTGTCAAAGTTAAGGAACCTGTTTTACCTGAGCCAAAGTCCCTA